ATTGCTTCTGGAGTAAAGGGAAAAGGAAGTCTCTTTAGGAATCAACTGCACAATGAGTTTTACAAAATCTTGCTGTCAAGAGGGATTATGAACCATAGAAGTGTTGATTTTCTATTTCTGGAAAAGGTTGGCATTTTTGTCAAACACCATTTTGACAGTTTGGGGATGACTGAATTCTGCCTTCAGTCTGCACACATGTATGCAGAATTGACTGCATATTTCTACTCCAATTTATCAATTTTGTCCCCTAATTGCATTCAATTTATTGTTGGGGATAAGGAGTATACTCTGAAGGCTGATCAATAAGCTGCTATCATTGGAGTTAAACACAATCAGTTTATTCCTTTTGAGGTCAGCGCAGAAGAAGCTTCTAAAGCCGTCTCAGAGAATCCAAATTTTTCCAGAAGATCAAAACAGTTCATTACTTATCCTGATCTGACACAAAAACAGTGATCTTACATAAGATCATTATTAATTGCTTGCGGCCCAAAGCTTCATCCAAGACAGATTTGTCTAAATTTGAAGTCAAAATTATTTGGGCAATTTTGAATGAAGTTCCATTCTCTTCTGCATATCATTATTCTTCACATGTACATAACTCTACTGAAAGACAAGAGTCAACTCCCTTATGGTGCATTGATCAGCAGGATTTTTGTCTATCTCAACATTGTTCCTGATGATCTGTGCAAGACTTTTGTTCCTTTAATGTTTGTTAGAGAAAAGATGCTGGCTAAGATGAACTTCAAGAAATTTACTGTCAGAAAGGATAGAGAGATTCCAGGAAGCAGACCTAAAGACAACTTTAGAGATAATTCTGAAGCACCATATGCTAGAAGAAGAGAAGCAAGAGAGAAAGAAGATAGAAGCAAAGGAAAAGAGAAAGCCAGGGAAAAGACTATCTCAACAAGTCCTGTACAAGAGTATAGAAAGCGAAGAAGACTCCTCCTCAAGGATGAAGAGGATGCATCAGAAAGCCTTGACATAGGACAGACTATTAGTCAGGAACATGTTGAGAAAGAACAAGGGTCTTCAACACCTACTGACAAGGTTTCAAAACCTGTTGACATTTTAGAACCAGTGCTAGAGGAATCAAGCTTAAGACAACAGGAACACAACACAATTCCTATGGTGTCTGAAGAAGGTCCATCTCTACAACAACACCCTGAACAAATGATGATAGAGAATGTTGCTGTAGATTATGCAGGTAATCAGGGGGAGATTCTGACCACAAGAGAAGGTGATTTTGAACACTCTGCATCTGACCATATCCAGTTACAATCTTCAGAGGACAGGACCATACTTCACCTTCTGCTCGAAATTAAAGACAAGCAATCAGCTCTCGAAGAGGATATGAAGAATCTTAAGATCATTGTTGAGGAACACAGTAAAAATCTTCGTTTTCAAGCAGAACGAGATAAAGCATATCTTGAAAAGGCAATTGCTCAATGTTCAACCAATCTGGAGCAAGCTGTTGGTCAATGTTCTCTCCGAATTGATGACACTGTTCAAATCCTGGAAAATTTTCAACTTGTTCGCACACCTTCCAAGAAATAGCCTGCCTCATCTCCCTTTTTCTTGAAACTTTTTAGATGCATAACTTGGAATATTACTTTCTTTTAGGCTTGATCTGTGTAACTAACATTCAGTTTGATCATTAATTATCTATTCTTTTTGCTGGTGACAAAAAGGGGAGAATATATATTGCAGGTTATATGATATCATTATGTAGATATAATGCAGGTTATTGAATGGACTTGAAGAATAGCAAAGGACATAGATCTTACATTTTGCACTTACATTTATCTGTGCCTTATGCGCTTAAAAGTTATTTATATTTATTCTCAAATCTTATCAAATCTTTTGATCTGCATGGAAGTTTTATCATCATCAAAAAGGGGGAGATTGTTGAGGAAACTTCCTGATTTTGTAGTTGACAAAACTATCCATGTTAATCTTGTAAATCTGATATGTACTCTGAAGTATTTTGATCTAGGTAAATATATTCTGGAAGTGGTATCTTTAATACTTCAAGAGAACTTAACTTTCTGGATGCTCAGACTTTACGAGGTTCAGAAGGAAAACTTCAAACTCTACAAGTTTCAGAACAAGAAATTCAGACCCTACTGATATAGACACTCAGACTTTATATTAAGGTGTCAAAGATCTTCAGACTCTAATTTTGAAGGACTCATTCCTTACTGAAGACCTACGCTGACTCAGATTCTGAATGTAAAGCAAGAACTAGAAATTCTCTAGACTTAGAATTTATTCAGAACGAAATATAATGGCTAGTAATCTAGCGTGGATTTCACAAGAGGAAAGTTTTGATTGGCTTAATCTAAGGCTAATTGATTGACAATCAAACGTTATGGCAAGTATATATCACAAACGGATAAAGCTCTACTTATGGAAACCAAGATTCTGGTTGTATAGGCGATTAGATTCAGTGGGATTCGGATTTTGTTAACCAACGGCTACTCAATCCATTTTATACAAATTTGTCCAAGGTGAAGATTGGAAGATGATCCTCTAAAGACTGCCCAACGGCTAGTTTGGAAGTGAAGGAGTATAAAAGGAGATCAACGAGGAGCAGAAGGTACAGAACGAAGTCGAGAATCAACAAGTCCAAAGTTTGAGCACATTCTGATTCTATTACTTGTCTTTCCTGAGCTACATACTGAGTTTTTGAGGGATTTTCTGTAAAAGTGATTGTGTGAGATAGAGAGTTCTATCATTCACCGAGTGATATCACTCAAATCTTGTAATCTCTTTGATCACATAGTGGAATCAAGCTAGTAAGCTGCTAGCATGGAAGAGTAGACGTAGGCTTGATCTAAGCCGAACCACTATAACTTCTTGTGTGCAGTTCTCTCTATCCCTAATCTATCTTTATATTGTTTGCACTGCACACTAGCATATTCAGAATCTGATTATTGTTCAAACTTTACTGATTATAAAGTCATTTCTGATTTAAATTCTACAAATTCACTTGAATCACCTATTCACCCCCTCTAGGTGATACTTGCTAGCTACATTAGTTCTCCCCCGTCTTGATTAGGTTTCTAGTCGACCAATAAGGACTAGTGGCGATTCTAAAACAAAACTTAGGCTAAATAAAAAAAATTTAAAAAATAAATACTCGCTATCTGGGAGAGACCCTCATTCGTCTAGTGATAGGATGTCTGTGAGACGTTTGGGCGAAATATTTGTTTCGGACCTTAGTAGCTCATTTGGGAATAGTTTCCTCATTTGTGACAAACAAAAGTACTTCCAAAGGCGCGCGAAGAGCGCGGCGCGACACCTATATTAAAGGCTTTCGAAATATTTGCAGTGAGTACATTTTAATCAATCGGAAAAGTCTTTTAAAAGGACCGTATCGTAGGTTTGATGATGGGTTTACACAAAAGATGGTCGCTTTGAAGCCAAGAACAAAATGTTCATCAATATTTTCGTCAAGTTTACAATTTAAGAACCTCGAAGATAAGATAAGAATTGATTTTAAAATTTTTCTCTATTAAAATTTTTCTATATTTTCTTGGCAATTAATCCATAAATTTGCTTGCTAATGTAGAAAATAACTAAATTTCTTGGAAATTTCTCTTTTCATCAAAGCTAATTTTGACGGAAGTGAAATTTAGAAATAAAGAAGAGAACATAATGACCTATAAAAAAAAAGAAGGAAATTAAATTAAAGGGAAGTACACTAGAAGTCCTAAAACTTATCATAAAAGTGTAATTGAGTTCTAAAACTTTCAAACAATGCAATCAAGTCCTAAGACTTGTCACGGAAGATCAAGTCCTAAAACTTGTTACGAAAGTATAATCGAATCCTAAAACTTTCAAAAAGTGTAATCAATCGAAGGACTTAATTGGACTAATTTGACATGTTCTAGGACTAGATTGCATTTTTTGAAAGTTTTTAGATAATGTGACATAGTTTTTACATTAACTTGATCTTGTTTATCAAAAAAGTTTTATATAAGAATATTTTCTTGGTCCTAACTGTCATTAGGGGTGTCAATAAAACCCGTGCCGACCCGGTCCGGCCCTAAAATTTGGGGTATTTTGCGGTCGGGCCTTAATTTTATTCGAATATGACCATAAAATTTGGGGTTTCATTAGAGTTGGGGTAGGGTCGGGCCGACCCATTAACACTCTAGGTCGGCCCATCTCCCTCTCTCAAACTCTCAATCGCTAATCGCTATCGCCGTCGGACGCTCTCTTGCGTCGCCTTGCCTAGTCTAATCTCATCTCTACCCCCGTCAATGATCTCTCTGCATCCTTCGCTTGTCGCCGTCACTCGAGGTCTCTCTCTCTCTCTCTCTCTCTAGCTTTGCAACGCCTCTGTTAGGGTTCGCGTTTCGAGTCCTTGATTCCGTCGAGGCTGTTGTTGTCCTTTTCGCTCCGCTTGCCCTAGCGTCCTCGATCTGCTCCCTTTCGCTCCGCGATCGCTTGCGCTCGCGAGCTCCCACCCTTCCTGGGATATGAGGCATCGCTTTTCCCTCGCCGATTTTGGTTCTATAGCGATAGAATTCATTGGGACCCGGTTGATGGATACGGCTTGCTTCGAAAAATTCGAGTGTGATTCTGAGAGTTCTGCTGGTCGCATGAGATGTCGGGATCTTTTCATTTATTCGATTCTGCGATTGTGGCTTCTTCATGGACTTTTTTCAAACAGGTCAAATGCTTTGATAGTGTCTTTTGGCCCCTGTTCCCTTGTGTTTGCTTTTAGCGGCGGCCACACATGTTTTTTTGAGCTGGAGTTTGTGGAGCAGTGTTTTTGGATATGACAAAAAAGAAATCAATAGAATGGGTGTTGGAGGAATATTTCTTGGCAAAAAGCTCAGGGCCTCTTTCGTTAAATTGTTATGGAGCAAGTCAGTGAGCGCTATTCCTTTTTGAATGTCCCTGAAGCCGAGGAGGCTCTGGAGCGGTCGAGCTTCAGTGGTCACATAGCGGAATCGGACAATCAGTCCGTCGAATTAGACGTTTCCTTTTGATCGTTAAATTTTTTCACATGTGCATTGTTTGATGATTGTGTTTGTCACATATATATGATGTTCTGCTATTCTCTGCAGACCCCTACTTCTTGCCTATGGCTTATGTTAAGTTGCATGCTTATTCAGGGAGTTCAAAAACATTTTCAACATCAGTTTTCTTCTTATATGAGCAGGTTTGCTACCTTTCTTCTCTCATTTTTGCCGTTGTTATTTTATTGTTGTTTTTAGTGTCTAAGTTTCATCAATTTATTGATTTGGGAAACTTTTTTGTCTTATTAACAGTAAGAATTTTTCAGTGTACCATTTTACCAGTGATTTGACAGATCCATCCAGATGATGCTTTTGGGCTACAAATGGTCAGAAATTTAGAGGTTATCTTCGAGATCCTTTCCTTTTAGAGGCCAGAAATATCATTGAGTTGCATTGCAATTATAATACCGTGGCTTGGGACTGAACCATAAATAGAGACGGAAAATCTCTGACCCTTGACATTTCTGTTTGCATGAATAAATTGCTGGAAGTGATCTTTTAAATTACTCAGATATGTGTGTATGGGCTAAATAGTTGGATGACTGGGATTGATAAAATTACTTTGTAGTAGGAACTTAATAAAGGTTTAGCAGCTGGTCTTCACAAATTTTGACTATGTGGACTAACTTGACCTTGTTTAGCAGCTGGTCTTTACAAATTGTGGGGCAATGTATGTTTTTTTGGTTTTCTTTTCCATTTTATGGTCTATTGCATACAAATTATATGAACTTGTTGAGATTTCTTTGCTGCTATCTTACTTCTGTTTTGTTGGTCCTCATGATGAGATGGTTTATCAGTAGCTTAGATTCCCCTATCACTTTACCCAAAATCAGCGTGTTACTAGCCAGGAAGGGGGAATGAAAGAAAATACAAGATTCCCCATATTCACATCCTATCTTGCAACTGCTTCCGAAGTAGTTTTGTCCCTCTAGTGAGTGCTTCGTTGTCAGCTGCTTGACTTGGTTCCATTGTGATCTACATTACATCAAACTCTGCCTTCCTCTGGAATAGCTTCTTACCATGTTCATGTTCATGATTAATGTTTTCAGATTCTGGCTATGCGTCACCCAAGGAGACTTGTCTTGTCAGGTTGCTTGGCAGCTTTGGTAGTAAGTGTACTTCTACAACTTTCAAATATTTAATGCCTTAGCATGAAGTCATTCTAGACACTTCATCTTTCATGGACTAAGACCTTCTGTATCTGCATCTTTTATCCAGGTGATGACTATTCTTTCTGCTTTTGTTGGTTGGGTTGCTCGTAACCTGGTAAGTTGTTTCCTATATGATTCCTGCGGTATTTCTTTCTTCTCTTTCTACTTAGTGAATGTCAATATACATAACAAGGGCAGCATTTGTTTTCTTTTACATATAGGAGTTCCATTTGATGTTCTATTATAAGGAAGTGATGGCCTGAAGCACATGCTTTTAGTATGGTTCTAGAATGACATATGCCTGGTCTTTCTCAAGCTTTTTATTTAATTGATCGGAATTTCATTATCTTGGAACTCTCATAATTTGACTTTTGTTAATGCGAAACACCTCAAACCTTTCAAAATACAACGATTGACATGTGGAATTACACATGATATTCCATAATTTTTCAAAACTCGAGATATCCTTTTCCTTCTTCAAAATTTTGGAGGGAAAGTCACAAGTAGAAGTAATAAGCTCCAACAAATAGGCCTACCTCTCGAATCTACTACATGCATTTCTTCTTGTTGTGATCCTGACCTAGTTTTACCCTTTTCCTAGTTGATATAATAGTTATAGAGCCTATTCATATGCGGTTGAAGAATAACATAACTATTTCAATTTTTTGTTTCAGAGAATCTATTAAGCTATCTTGGAATCAGTCTAGACAGTGAGATTGAAAGACTTTCTACAGGTAGAGGGTTTCAGTGGAAATGAGCTAAACTTGATTCTTTTTTTTCTATATGTGACACATTTTGAATCTGTGACCCTGTGATTCATTTATCCTTTTTAGTCCGTATAAAGAATCTTGATTCTCAGCTTTTTCTATATGTGACACACTGTGATTTTGGCATGCTGTATTAGGTTTTGCACTTTATTCGATTAAAGCAAGTTTTAATGCTAAGAATGGGAGCAATCATTGTTTCTAATCTGGTACTTTTTTTGTATTGTGTGTTGTTAGGTTGTACCCCATTGCACTGGGCCGCATTAAGGGTTTGCTAGGGATTTTCAACACCGATCAGCAACTTAGTGACCTGGAATAACAGAACATTTAATCTTTTTCCACCAAAATCTGGTGAGTTTTTTTGTTCAATTAACAACAGAAAGTGCTATGATGATGGTTTACCTAAGACTTTCCTACTTCAGATTTTTTAGATTTGCATGGTTTATCTGCTCTAGAACTTAGTTGGTAAATATGTTGGCAAGTATATGAACTGTAGAAGGCATTACTACACCATTTGTATTTGTCAAGAGTATGTTGAGGACTACATTTCTGGTTATAGTAATACTTTCCAGGTTCTAAGTGTCATAGATAGAAGGATTGCTAAATGTCTGAGATAAGTTCTTCTAGTGTGACACAAAGAAGGACGAGATCTTCACTATGGGAACACTTTAAACATATTCCTGATGAAGAAAAGGCTGAATGTATATATTGTGGGGCATGTATTGGTTGTGCTAGTGGTCAAGGGACCAGTTCGATGCATCGTCATTTAGCTAGATGTAAGGAATTCCCATATGCAAATGTCGAGAAAAGGCAAAAAAGTGACTCGGGTCCTTGGAAATTTGACCAAAATGATAGTGGAAAAGAATTAGCGATCATGTTTATTATTGATGAATTGCCTTTCAAGTTGGTAGAGCATGAGGGATTTCGGCGATTTGTGAACAAAATCCAGCAAAATTTCTTAATCCCGTCGCGCAACACTTTGAGGCGCAAATGTTATGATTTATACACGGATGAAAGAAGTGAGTTGAAGAACTATTTCTTGGAGACATCTCCAAGAGTGTGTCTTACAACAGACACATGGACTTCTTATCAAAATTTGAGCTATATGTGTCTCATTGCTCATTTTGTTGATGCCGATTGGAAGCTGCATAAGAAAATATTAAATTTTTGTCAAAACCCGGGTCATTCTGCCGAGATAATAGGAAAAACGGTTGAGAAATGCTTGATTGATTGGGGGATTCAAAGCATTTTTTCTATCACCGTGGATAATGCTAGCTCAAATGACTTGGGAATTCAATATTTGAAGAAAAGACTTAACTCTCGGAATTCTCTGGTATTGAGAGGTGAGTTGCTCCACATGAGGTGTTGTGCTCACATATTGAGTTTGATTATGAGAGAGAGGTTGAAAGACATAAATGATTCGATTGTTAGAATACATTCAGCTGTGCGTTATGTGAGGTCTTCTCCTGCGAGGTTGAGACGGTTTAAAGGTTGTATTAAGCTAGAGAAAATTGAGTCCAAGAGTCTTGTATATTTGGATGTCGAGACTCGTTGGAACTCGACATATATAATGTTGGAAGCAGCTTTGAAGTTTCAAACAACTTTTAGCTCATTGGAATTTCAAGATGGAAAATTTGTTGAGGAGCTTTCCAAGGTGAAAGGATTGCCCACTAATGATGATTGGGAGTATGCCTCTCACGCCTCGAAACCCAATAGGCTCGCAACACCCCTCCGACGGTCGTAATGAATGCGATGTCCCAGGATGCGTCGCCGACCCAAACGAAACACCCAAATTAAATCACGAGCGGAAGCAAATTTAAATCAACCCAGACAATAAACAATGACAACAGGGCAGTACTTGAAGAAAATCAATAAACATATTTCATATACTTGGCATAGGCTTACAACCTTCATTTACACCACAACCATCCAGACCACTAACTTCAAACCACGTTCATCAAAAGGGGCGGTGGTTGCCAAACTTATCTCCTCTACAAAACGGGGCGCTCAAAAGACAGGGTAACTTAACCCATCCTCGATCCCCGAGGTACTCTGGCGGCGTCTCCAAATCAATCACGGATGCGGATCTGAAATTGTTTGCACTACAGCAATGAGAATAAATCTCAATAAGCAGACAACCTATACCCCACCTAGGCCAATGCGTACCCAGACAAGTCTAGCATGCAATCCACCAGCCAACACAATCAATTTTCACACAACATACTTACCTCGTCTCGAACTGCATGCCAACTCTGCATATTAGTCAATTCACCATAAAGCAATAATAATTCAAGAATACAACATCGCCACTCAAACACCATGACCACGTATATTCAATCAATTCAATCACACTCAATTCGCATTCGTGGCCGAACAACTTTTCACGACCCAGGTCAACACCCCACAGGTCAGCTCTCTGACCAAGCCGGGCTCCGTCCCTCACTGGACCTTTCACACTTTCCCACGACCCGCGTCAACACGCCTCAGGTCAGCCCTCCGATCAATCCGGGCTCCGTCTCTCACTGGACATTTCACATTTTCACACGACCCGCGTCAACATGTCTCAGGTCAGCCCTCCGATCAATCTGGGCTCCGTCCCTCACTAGACATTTCGCATGCACATACACCACAACACAATTCGCCATTCTCACACGTATATTCAATCAATTCAATCACACTCAATTCGCATTCGTGTCCGAGCAACTTTTCACGACCCGGGTCAACACCCTACAGGTCAGCCCTCCGATCAATCCGGGCTCCGTCCCTCACTGGACCTTTCACAATTTCCCACGACCCACGTAAACACGCCTCAGGTCAGCCCTCCGATCAATCCGGGCTCCGTCCCTTACTGGACATTTCACACTTTCACACGACCCGCGTCAACACTCCTCAAGTCAGCCCTTCGATCAATCTGGGCTCCGTCCCTCACTGGACATTTCGCATGCACATACACCACATCACAATTCGCCATTCTCACACGTCGCACAAATCCAATTCCAATCATAAACTCATCACACTAGCCCACCAATTCAACACTCAAGTCGGCCCAATCACACGTCAATTTCACTCATAAACGCCACGACAATCCGATCATCACACCCACATAAATTAGCCACTAAACATGCCACATAATCATTGCAATTCAATCTACCAATTAACCACATTCATAAATTGGCCCTAACCCAAGTTTAACCACTAAACCGGTACTAATCACACCCTAAATAAGTCTAAAAATACCCATTATACCAAGTAGGGTTTAGGAAGTCACTTATCTAAATTTGGCTCGGGAAAAATCCATACGGGCTCAAAATGGCCCGGGAGAACATTGGCGACTCGGCGCGGGCGAGGGCGCGACGGGCACAGGGCTAGGCCACGGCTCGGCACATGGCCCGGGCGACTCGGCCACGGCCTGGGACACTCAGCCACGGCAAAGGCAGCGGCTGGGCACGGATGGACAACGAACTAGGCAGCGGCTTGGCTGTCCGGCCACGGTTGGGCAGCGGCCTGGGCTGGCTGGCTGGCCGGCGGCGGCGATGGCGATGCGGCGGCGATCTGGCTCAACCAGAACAAGGGGGCAGTAGCGTCGTCGTCGAGCAGCAGGGACGACGGCGGCGGAGACAACGGAGATAGGCGACCAAGATGGCGGTTGGTGGCGGATGGAGCAGCGGCGGCGACTGGAACGGCGGCGCGCGGTGGCGATGAGCTCGGCCAGAATAGGGAGAGGTCGGGGAAGTTGGGGCGGTGGTGGCGAGAGAGGGAGAGCTGGGGCTGAAGGGAGGTCGCGCGGCAGCCGGAGGCGACACGGCGGCGTCGTGGGAGGCGTGACGAGGTAGGACAAGCTGGCCGGCTGCTCGGCGGAGCTTGACCGCGACGAACGTAACGGCGGGCTGCTGCTCACGTGCCACGGGGGCAGGCCGGCGACAGGCGGTCGCAGGCGACGGGGACAGGCGGTCGCAGGCGACGGCGACGGCGACGGCGGCGGCGCGGCTCGGTAGGGGTGATGACGGCGGCGCGACTCGGTCGGGGCGACGGCGGCGCAAGGCGGACGGCGAGGGGCGGTCGGCGGCGACGAGCTCGGGCGGTGAGCAGCAAGCAGGAAGCCCGAGTAGTTGGGCGAAGCAAGAAGAAAGGAAGAAGAAGGAGAGAAGAGGAAGAAAGAAAAAAGAAAAGAAAGAAAGGAAGATAGAGAAGGGGGAGGGTAGGTCTGCATGGTCAGGGGGGAAAACGTGTGTAAGGGGACGTTGTATGCGGGAGGAGAGAGAGAGAGAGAGAGAGAGAGGACAGGCGCAGGGGGGAGACGTGAGCGCAGTGTGGGCGCGGTAGAGGAGAGAGGAGAGAGAGGGGACAAAAGTCAAGTTTTGTCCTCGAGTGCGATCCAACGGTCACGATTCTAATCCGAAAACGATCTAACGGTCCCCGAAAATCCTAATTAATAATTTAGGAGAAAGGGCCAAAAGATAATCAAATAAAACACACTACGAGAGAGGTCTACTAGTCCAAATCTGCACCTGTTGAA